AACTTGGCTTTCCATTCATTCATTGTTGCACAATTTCCTGTCTCCCCCTAAATTTTTTTCCTTATTCATGGCACAAAGGATATCATTGCTGATAAATTTTTACTTTTTAAATTTTATTATTTTTTTTGTGTATGTACCGTCAAATCAGATCTGTCCCTCCTTCTCCAGCAGAGCATCTGGTGGATTCAAACCACGCACCTCTGGGATTGCAATGCAGCTTCTTGCCACTAGGCCACCAGAGCTCCAGATAAGTTTTCATTTTTGATGAAACCCAATTTTGTTTTCTCTCTTTTGTTTTTTTCCAGGAGTCTCAGCTTGGAGAAGTCAGATCAGCACCACAGACCTCACACTTTCAGCATCCAACTCCCTTTGTTACTCAACTGCTGGGTTCCAACCAGTACCTTCCTGAACTGGCCAGGGACATGGGGTGAGCACCACCAGGTGTCATCTGCACAGGTGGAGCCTGACAGGCGGGGGGAAGCTGCTGATTTCTCTTTTGTTGATGTGTCTCCAAGTTTTACTCTTAAGCTTTGTTCTAACCTTAAGAAGAATGAGAATCCCAGAACACTTGATTGTGCTCATGTACAACTATACTTGGACTAGAAAGCAGTTCTCAGAACAGAGCAAGGAAATACTGGTTCAAAATCAGAGAAGGGGAGCTGTAGGGATGCACCCTGTCTCCATATCTTTTCAACCTATGTGCAGAACAGATTGTTTAGAACAGATCATTTTTGAGGCTGGGCTTTATGAGGAGGAATGTGGATCAGAATTGGAGGAAGATTCATCAACAAACTGTGTAATGCAGATGACACAGCTCTGCTTGTCAAAACTGAGGAGGACCTGAAGTGTTTGCTGCCAAAGGTCAAGGACTATCGTCTTCAATAAGGATTGAAGCTCAACATCAAGAAAACAAAAATTCTCACCAATAGGTCAATTGGCAGCACCATGATAGATGGAGAAGATTGAGGTTGCAAACAAATTCAGCTTGCTTGGCTCCAAAATCAACACTCTTGCCACCAGCAGGTAGGCAATTTGAGGAATTCTGCTCTCAGGGATCTCTGCAAAATGCTAAAGAGTAATGATGTCAGTCTAGAGACCAAGGTACACCTGATCCAGGTCATGGTCTTCACAATTACTTGCTATGTACCAAAGAGCTGGACAATGACTAAGGATGACAGAAGAATTGATGTCTTTGAGTTGTGCTGGAGAAGAGTATTGAATATACCATGAGAACAAACAGTTCTATCTTAGAGAGTGTGAAACCAATTCTCCTTGGAGGCAATTTTTGAAGCTCTGTCTCATATACTTTGGGTACATGGCCAGGAGAGGTTAGTCCTTGGTGAGGAACATCATGCTTCAAAGTGTGGACGAACAGTGTAAGAGAGGAAGACCCCGAATGAGCTGGACTTGACACTAACTGGTGTAGGAAAGTTAGTGAGACCGGCTCAGGATAGGGCAAGGTTCAATGCTATTGTACATAGGGTCACTGTGTGTCACAGGCAACTCAATAGCACATAACAACATATGGTATGAGGTAGGGATCCTACTTCATTCCTTTACATGTGGAGGTGCTGCTATCTTGTTATGTGCCATCGAGTCGCTTGCAACTCATAGTGACCCTATGTACAAGAGCCCTAAATGCTGTTCTATCCTGTGCCAACTTTGCCGTCTCAAACACACTCATTCCCACAACCCCAATCACAGAATCAATCCATCTCATCAAGGGTCTTCCTCTTCTGCGCCATCCCTCCACTCTCTAAAACATGATGTCCCTCTCCAAGGATCAGTCCCTCTTTGCAACATGCCCAAAGTATGTCAGATGAAGCTTCAGAATCCTTGACTCCAAGGAGCATTCTGGCTTCACACTCTCCAGGACAAACCTGTTTGTTCTCCTAGCAGTCCATGGTATATTCAACACACTTCTCCAGCATCACAACTCAAAGGCATCAATTCTCTATCATCCCTAGTCACTGTCCAACTCTCCAATGCATAGCATGTAATTGCAAAGACTATAGCCTGAATCAGGCGCACCTTAGTCTCCAGCCTGACGTTGTTGCTCTTCAGTAGCCTTGAGAGTTCCCTCACAGCTGACTTTCTCAATGCAATTCGTCTCTTGATATCCTGGCTGCTGTTATCAAGAGTGTTAACTGTGGAAGCAAGTAAACTAAAACTGTTAACTATCTCAATCTCTTCATCCATACTGATGCTGCCAATTGGCCCAGTTGTGAGAATTTTTGTTTCCTTGATGCTGAGCTTCAATCTATATTGAAGGCTGCAGTCCTTGACCTTCTGCAGCAAGTGCTTCAGGTCCTCCTCAGTTTCAGCAAGCAGGGTTGTGTCATCTGCATATCACATCACTTATTTAAAAAGATGACTCTTTCCCCTAGTCACAAATCAACTGACCACAGATACTAACCAGTCACTTTTAAATGAATGCTTATGTTACTTCAAGTTTTTTAAGCCACACTGGAATGAACACCTTTGTATCAGTAAGCTGCATAATAAATGTCAATCCTAGTGGCTTAAAAGAACATAAATACTATTATTTCACAATTCCTATGGGTCACAAATTTGGCACGTTCTAGCTAGGTCTCAGGTAACTTCAGTGAGGTGTCCAGTGGGTTGCAGGTCCAAACCTGTGCAGCCACCTTTCTGCCTATGCCCAAGAGCTGGGCATTATGCAGTGAGACTGGGGGTATCCGGGCATCTGGGAGAAAAGTGTCCCAGATGGGATACAGTACCTCCCTGAAACTGGTCAGTCCATTCTCCTTAACCAGGTCCTCCTGCAAACTTCTCATACTGCCTGAGGGCTAGATAGAAATCTAAGTATAGCTGGACTATGAGGGGTCACAACTTCAAGTCACTCTGGTCTACTGTCTTAAACAGATCCTGGAGGTCAGTGCAGAGGCCCAAGACCAAAGTAGCATGGACTTCAGGGGAGCTGGGGCAGTGGCTTCATCTCTGAACTGAGAAAGGTTGGGAGATAACTCTTGGATGTCTAGTGAGGATCCTCTTCCCTGGGGCAGCAAGGCTGACAGCAGAAGATGGGCCATGGTATTGGGCTCGCTGGGTTATGTAGGTGCCACGTTCTTCCTTTTGACTTCAGCTTCCCTGGCTCTGTAGGGCCCCATAACCTGGGTTCTAGAGGAATCAGGTGGGATTAGGGGAGGCCTTGGCACCAGCTACAATTCCTCTACATACCCTCTAGGTTAAGAGGGATTCCTTTGCTGCACACTCTCAAGACTTGAACCCATGAGGTCCTTTGCTGTGGAACTGGCTGCTAGTTCTGGTAGCAGCTCCCTGCCGAGACCCTCTCAGAACCCCTTAAGCGCACTCATGGCCCACATTCATTGTCCGTTTCCTCCAAGGCTGCAACTGCAACCTTACTGAGAGAGATGATGTGAGCAGGGACCCTATTTTAAGGATAACAGGACATGAAAGATGAGTGATGATGAGTAGGGCCAGGCGTGACCTTCAAGGAGGCCTGCTTTCCTGAGCCTTCGTTTCCCCTCTGAAAAGCAGTTTGTTGTAAGCTGACAAGAGGTGCTTCCCTTTGAGAGTCCTGGCTCAGCCACGTTCACAGGGTTGTGACCCTGGATGCTGCACAAGGCCATGGAAAAAGACTGTGGAATCAATGGATTGCGAGGTGGGAGGCTTTATTTCACTGTGGAGGGGCCTGGACAGAGGGTAGCGGGCAGGACAGAAGGGGCTGGAACTCAAGGAAGGATGAGTCAGGGGAAGGGCTGCCTTTAGGCCTGTTGGGAAGGAGAAACTGAGGCTGGCTGGCTGGAGAACTGACCCAGGGGATGAAAGGGCAGGATTAGGGTCTGGGGGTTAAGGGCCCCTCCCTCCGGGCTGGACTTGGGCCCGGTCCCACCTCATTCTCCTCCTTGAGGGCTGCAGTCCCTCCTGCTTGCTGGGCTACGTGGCCCCCAAACCTTGCTGCCCCAACCTGGAGGAGAGGGCTGGGCCAGGAAGGGCAATGGATGGGGGCCGGGAGAGTTGGGGAGCGTGGGGTAGGGTCCACGGTGCGCAGAGGGGGATGGCAGCCATCTGGATTATCAGTTCCTGGCAGCAATGACCACAGAGAGGGCTACGCCCCCCAGGGCAACGGCAGTCGCTCCAAACAGCCATTTCCAAGGGATGGACTGAGGATAAAAGCAGAGAGAGGCGGGAATGGGAAATGAAGGGCAGCCAAAGCTCGCCTCTGGGACTTCAGCTCCCAACATCCTGAAGAGATATCCTAGCAAAGCACTGCCTAAGCATACCTCCCCTGCCTCCTGGTAAACCCTTACTCATAGGCCAACACCCAGATTGAATGTCTCCTTCTCTAGGACACCTCCTTTGCCCTCCAGGCATTCCAGCCTGAAGCCCACCTTCTACCTGGTACTGGTCAACACAGGGATGGGATTCAGTGTCCCAGCATCATGCAGAATGGCCAAATGCCAAAGATATGCATGTCTACAGGATGAAGAAGCCCCGATACTTGCACCAGTCTTCCTTTCCATCTCAGCCTGCACCCTCTGCCTGGTGTCCCATCTCCAGTCACACCCCCTCTCTGGGGTCTGCTGTCCGAGGCTCACCCAGGCTCCTTTCCCAGGGCACTTGGCAGGCAGCCGGCTGGGATTGCCCAGCATCTTCCGGTACAGAGCAGTCTCTGTGTTCCTCTGGGCTGCGTGCTTCTTCACCAGCTTCGAGAGCTCTGCGTGGATCGTCTGCAGGGGAGGTGGGTGTGAGGGGGCCCAGTTCAACTGGCAGTGTTGGGGCTGATGCCCTTCTGAGAGCTGGGTCACTTGGAGGCTGGACCCACTGTGTCACACAGGTCTATCAGACTTGCCACAGGAACCAAGGGCCAGGCTCTGCCCTTCTTAGTGTCAGCAAAGTGGATGGGGTGAGGTGGCCAGGAGAAAAGTCAGACCACAGATATGGGTACCAGTCATGGTAGAGGTGTCAAAGTGGGTCAGTGCAGACTGCCTATCTGGGAAGTCATGCAGGTCCCAGCTAGCTGGCTGGGGACTGCTAGGTACTCACTGCCCACATGGCACAAGCAGGCCACTGCAGACCAGAGAGACTTAGCACACACTGTAGAATAGCTTACCTTATTGGAAGGTTCCAGCTTCAGGGCAGCCCGCAGGATAGGGATGGCCTCACTATACTCGCCTTGCTGGGCCAGCACCTGTGAGAGGGACATGTCACTTGGGACCCTGCTCCTTCCCTGTATCTGTCTCAGCCTGAGCTGTAGTCCCTCCTCCCCTTTGCCCTCTTAGCTGGTCAGTGACTTGTCCTGATCTTGGTCTCAAGAGATGAACTGGACTTTCCCCAAGCTTGAGCTATGGTGACTGCACGTGGCACAGGTCAACCAATGGCAGTCCAGTCCTGGACTCGACTTGTACCACAATGAGGGCAGTTGCTAAATGGGGAGGTTGGTAGCCAAGAGCTTTTGCAGGGAGAGGGTGTCTGTCTACCCAGAGAGACCAATCAAAGAGGGGAGCCTACAGGAGAGTGTCTCACATCATATGAATGCCTGAATCCAGCTGTGCCTGAAACCCAATACTCCAGAGCTGGCACTTCTGTGAGCCATCTATACCTGCTTTTGCCCAAACTGCTTGGGTTTCTGCTACCCCTAACCAAATAACCCAAATGCAAGCAGGGCGAAGAAAGCAGACACCCTCTACTGCCCTTTTAAGCTCTTTAGAAACAGAGCAGCACTTTCCTCCATCCATCTCTGCAGAACTTTGCACAGAGCTCCTGCTCAGACTGTGCACAGAGCAGAGCGGGGTACCTCAGTACCTGTGCCTCAATTCCTTGTTTACTATACCCCCTGTTCCTTGTTTACTACACCCCCTTACAGGCTAGCTGTGAGCAGCAGAGGATGCTGGGACTCTCCACTGTGCGCCAGGCCTGTCCACAGGATAGACAAGCAGTACTGGGTACAGAAGCAAAACCTTGCCTTCCAGTGTGGGGCAGGACACAATGTGTGACAGCCTGTGGGTTGCCTGTCAGATGGTGACATGGGAAACATGCGAATGAGGCTGAAGCAGAGTGAGAGGGGGTGCTGCGCTCAGTGAGGTGGCAGAGAGGTGATCTGAGGAAGTGACATCCAAGCAGAGACTGTAAGTGGTGAGGGAGGCGTGCATGCACGCATGTGAGCAGAGCACGGGTAGAGGGCACAGTCACAGAGATGCTGGGATGGGCAGCAGCCTGGCGAGGTACTAGAGAGGACGCTGGCAGGCAAGAAGGGCAGAAAGGCAGGAGGTGAAACAAAGAGGTGAGAACAGGAGGGGGAAGATGGTGGTGACACAGTTTCCTCCGAGGGAGAGAGGAGCCATGGAGGATTATATGCAAGAGGCAGTCAGTATCAGTACTGGACTACAGGAGCAGTGTGGGAGAGTCAGAGAACCCAAGGGTCTGAGTTCAAGCACGGGCTCCCTGAAGGCCCGCTCGTGCCCTATGCCCGTCTGTCTCTGCGTCCCCACCAGCGGGAACCAGGGGCCCGCCCCCACAGAGCGGCACCCACCTTGCCCTTGCGGAAGAGCGCCTTGATGTTGTCGGGCTGGTGCTCGAGCACGAGGCTGCAGGAGCGCAGCGCTGCACGGTAGTGGTCCAGCTTCAGCTGCGAGGCTGCCAGGTTGTTCAGACACTTCACTTTCAGCTGCAGCAGCTGCTCCTCCTCTTCAAACGTCATGTCCACTGCAGGCAGGGGTCTGTCACCACGCGGTACTGGCCCCAGCCCACCCCAGGCACTTGCGGTCTAACCTCCCTGTGAGGCCACAAGGCTGACACCCATCCCAGCTGCCCAGTGTGACCTGTGAGGAGGAAGGCGGCCAGAGAAGGGGAGTTCTAACTGGCTGGCTGGCCCAGGCACTGAAGGTTGGTAAAGTAGCTGGGAACTCTAAACCTTCTTGCTAGAGAACCTGAAGCAAGCCAAGACCCTTAAACCATCAGCCACAGCTACCCTTCCCAAATTGTCATCAACAAAATGAAACCTCAGTGTTATAGGGCACAGACATCAATTAGGGTGACCTGACCCTAGTGCCACCTGTACTCTGTATACCCTACTGGTCTGGCGTACACCACAAGCCTGGAACAGCTCTTAACCTCAAGGTCAGGGGCTGTTAGGCACTTAATCTTTTTGGAATATTCTAAAACAATCCAAGCCTGAGGTGGTGGCTTGAGTTTGCCGGGCACTAAGGATAGATGGTGCAGTGGCAGAGGTGGAGGGGGGGACGAGCTGACGCAGTCATGAGGCAGGGTAGGCAGGCACCTTTGGCGCTGGAGGTGATGGCCTTGATGGCGAGGTCGTAGGAGTTGGCGGCCAGCACGAAGTCAGCCCGTTGGTAGTGGGCGTTGCCACACTCTCGCTTGCGGTTGGCCAGGGCCACGCGCTCCTGCCCCGACAGCATCTCCAGGTCAGGCCCATCTACCGCTGTCTTCAGGGTCACCTCCAAGCACAGGGCCGCGTTGGGGGGAATGTAGGGGCTCCTGCTGGGGGGCGTGGGGTGGGGGTGACACTCAGCCTTGGTATCCCCCAACCACATCCCTAGCGGCAGAGGCCCCCTCCCTGTAGAACAGGGAATAACTCAAGCCAGGACTTTAGGCCCCAAGATACAGGTCCAGAGTCCTAGCTTTCTCTCCTGTAAAATGGGTGGGTGGCGGGGCAGGAGGAGGACGTCTCACCTGCCCTGAGGGCCATAGCAGTACTTGGAGTCAGCGGTGACCATGGCGGTCTCCCCCACATCCATGAGCGCAACACTGAGGTCCAGGGCCTAGGGAGTGGGGCAGTAGAGGGTCAAGAGGGCCCGGGCCGGCCCCAGCCCCCGGCCCGCCCCGGCACCCACCTGGATGACATCACAGTCGCCCAGGGTGAACATCAGCTCTGGCTCCTCCTGCACCCTCGTGCCATTCTCCAGAGACGTCTGCAGCCAAACAGTCACCACCTGGCCCTTGACAGGGCGGCTGGAGCCAGGTGGGCCTGGGACCAGCGTCTTCTTCCTCAGCTGCCCATTCCCTATGGGGATTTAAAGTGGTGCAGCTTGTCACTGGGAAGTTCAGACAGGGAGCCAACCTCCCATCTAGCTGTGAGGCACAGACTGAGCTTTGAATGAACACTCTGCCACTCACTGGACCAGTGACCACAAGCTGCAAGCTCCTATTGCCCCATACTGGACACTGGGGCTAACAAGACCAATTTCAGAGGCCATTTACCAGAATGTAACCAAAAAAGCTGACAGCACTAATGATGTTTTAAGAAAAGTCATCACCACAACAAGATAAAGGTCAATAATCCAACAGAAAAATGGGCACAGGATATGAACAGACACTTCACCAAAGAAGACATTCAGATGGCCAACAAGCACATGAAGAAATGTTCAAAATTCCTAGCTCTAAGAGAGATGCAAATTAAAACAACTATGAGATATCATCTCACCCCAGTCAGAATAGCAAAATTTAACAGAACAGCAAGCAACAAATGCTGGCGAGGTTGTGGAGAAACTGGGACCCTTATTCACTGTTGGTGGGAGTGTAAAATGGTGCAACCCCTGTGGAAGGCGGTATGGCGCTTTCTCAAAAAGTTACAAAGAGAGATATCATTTGACCCAGCAATTTCACTACTGGGAATATACCCCAAAGAGACCATAACTGACATCCAAGCAGATATATGCACACCCATGTTTATTGTGGCTTTGTTCACAATAGCAAGGAGTTAGAAACAACCTAAGTGCCCATCAACAAAATAATGGATAGAGAAGCTGTGGTATATTCACACAAAGGAATATTATGCTGCATTGAAAAACAAGCAACTCATGCAATATTATTTAAAATGGTTGACCCTGGAGGACATTATGCTGAGTGAAATACCTTAGTCACAAAAGGACAAATACTGCACGGTGTCACTGTTGTAAAACAGGACTGACATCAGGGTTGGAAGGAGACTGAGAAAGATGGGTTCAATAACGTATACTGCATTGAAACAGATGAGGGAGAAAACTGTTTAAAAAGGATATGTGATTAGATATTTTTGTCATGACAGGAGTCTAGAGCGAAGGCTGCATAGTGGAGTGGACGTGGGAGAGGGTCTGTAAAACAATGAAAGAATTTGTCTTTTACTTTTCCAAGAGGGTAGTGTACTAGAGGGGAGGGTTGGAAGGGGAGAAAAGTACAACAATGAATGAATGAAAATGCAAAGTCTCTGTAAATTTTCATTGAAATTAATAATAAACTAAAAAAAAATAAAGTCCTAGGTGAACAAGACTACACCCATGACTACACAGGTTTGGCAGTCTTTCGATACATGTATCCCGTACCAGCTTTAAGTAGATCCTAGCATACAGTACAACAAACAGGGCACAGAGTCTGAAAAATCAGCTATATTCCAACATCATGATGCAGTGACTTAGGAGGCTTAGGGACTCAGGCCCATAGACTCAGGAGGCATTGAGGGCAATGGTCACACACAGTCTACAAGGTTCCACAGCCTATGGTGGTGAGCAGCACTGAGTCTTGTCAGTGACCACGGAAGGGGCAACTACTGCTCTCACTCTGTTCGGAGCAAAGAAAGGTGAAGACTGACCCCAGATTGGCTGTCACCACCGACTGCTCTAAAAGAGATCCCACTAAAAGGTCCTCAAATAAGAGTGGGAGAAAACTGTGGAACAAAACTCAAAATCACAAACACAGACCAGAGTCACTGATCTGACAAAGACTAATGAAACCCCTGGGACTAAGGTCTGAGTCACTCCCCAAAGCCTGGGACTGAATTCAAACCTGGTGACTCAACCTTCAGCCAAACAAAGGACAGATCTATACAGTGATCGATAACAGCAAGAAATCAACCCTTTAGAACCGTCAACCATACAAGATCAAAAGGGCAGCACTTTAAAAAAAAAGAGGCAGCATTGCAGTGGGATCAAGCTCAGAAGGGAGGGAGAGGAAATGAGAAACACAGGCACTAAGGAGGAAGAGTGCTGCTAACATGTGGGATTATAATCAGTGTCATGTGATAGAATGTGTATGAATTGTTGAATGGGAAACCAATTTGCTCTACAAACTTACACTCAAATCACAATATAAAGTGAACAAAAAGAAAGAAAAACTAAGGTCTGAGAAATGCCCATCTGCCCAGCATGGTCAGGGCCTCGGGTCAACAGCCTAAGTAGACTATGCACACGGAGCACTGCAAATGTGACTCTATCAGAGCTCTGGGTTCAGGTTAAAACAGTGCTGACAGGCTCCCCATAAACACCATCAGCCCCCAACGTCTCCTGAGGAGACCCCCTGACAGCTGCCTCTGCTGGAGTTTTCTTCCATGCCCCAAGGAGCTACCAAAACCAGCGGCCATCAGGTCAGCTCCAGCGCACAGCGACCCTACTTATGTCCAAGTAGAACTGTGCTCCATAGCATTTATAACAATTTTTCAGATGATTACCAGGCCTTTCTTCTGAGGTACCTCTGCATGAATGTCAACCTCCAACTTTTCAGTTAACAACCAAGTGCATGGACTTCACTATCCAGGGCTCCAAACACCACCTGTTGTTGGCTGCTGTACTGTCAAGTTGGCCTAGTTCATAGAGACATCACATAACATACAACTCCCGCCCCCCCCACCGAGTTTCTACCTGCTCCTAGGTCACACCCAGGATCAGCGGAGGATCTAACTGCTGTGTTCCGTAGGGTTTTCACTGGTTCATTTTTTTCAGGGGTAGCTTACCAGGCCTGTTTTCCGTATTGGTGTTGGATGGACTCAAACCCTGTTCCCAGCTGAGCCCACAAATGGAGTCTCAGAAAGGGCAGGCAATTAGCCTAACACACAGTCCTCTCCCTCCCCAGACACTGTAAAGGATCCACAAAATGGGGTCCCGATGAAGCAAGGACCTAGCCTGCGGAGCACAGGAGACCAACAACATGTGCACACTAACACGTAGTTAGTCTAGAATAGACCACGCATCTCAAACAGGTCCTAACTGCTGCTCCCGGACATAAACATGCCTGCATCCAATCTGAGACCAGTGACCCAGCAGCCCCCAGGGACCCCTGTTGCTTCAGTTCTCAGCACCAACGGCAAACTCACTGGCAGAGTTGCACCCAGGCGCTGAGGAGCAAATCAAAGCCCCTCCTGGGACTTCAGTTTCCTCAACTGGAAAACAGAAGGCTAAGTTCTGACCTCAGAGAATGGCTGCTGAAAACAGGCAGAATAAGCCTTTTTCTCAGACAAGGAGTGGAAAAGTTAAGAGTATCTATCCCTAGGGGAGAGAGAAAGCTCTGGTGGCCTAGTGGTAAGAAGCTGTGTTTCCAAGTCTAAGGCATGTGGTTCAAATCCACCAGTTGTTCTGCAGGAGCAAGACAGGCAATCTCTTCCTGTGCAATTCATTGCCCCTGAAAACTCGCTAGAAGATTATCTATGTGGGTTGGATCTGACTTGACTACACGTAACAACAATCCTTAGAAAAGAGCTTCCCACACTCTGACAGAGGCATTGGGGGACTATGGGACCTCAGGCAACTGAGCTTCAGTTTCCTTATCTGCAAGATAAGTAGGATTATGTATATCTATACAGACCATGCAGGGGGTCAGCGGAGGAGGGAAAAGAACCTCGGTCAGATGAACACACAGTGACTGCAAAATGTGTCACAGATGATGAAGATGGTACAGAATAGGATGGGGTTCAAGTCTGTGGTTCATAGGGTCACTATGAGTTAGCTGTATGTGACAGCACCTAACAACAAATATATACATATTATTACATATCATATATATAGCATATCATTCATATATAGATAAACAGACAGACGGTCTGTATTTCAAGAGATCGTAGAGGCCTGGCTCAGTATTATTATTAGCTCTGGTGGCCTAGTGGCAAGAAGCTGCAATGCAATCCTGAAGGCATAGGGTTCGAGGCCATCAGCTGCTCCGTGGGAAAAGGATGGACAATCTCCTCCCGTGCAATTAACTGCCTCTGAAAACCCACTGGGGGGGTCAGCTGAGTCAGTTCTGACTCATGGTACACAAAAGAGATTATCTTGAGAAAAAGGCCTGGCACTCATCTTTTGAGAAATCATCATTGAGAATCTTGCGAAGCCCAGCTCTCCTGACAGAAAAGGGGTGCCACAAGTCAGAATCACCTCAACAATCAACTTGGCAGTTATTATGCTCCAATATTTGTACTCATAATATTGCACTATTGTTTAGAAGCAGGCGTATTTTTTTGTTAGCAGCTGCAGTAATGTTAGTAACAACCCTGATTCATCAAAAGAGTATATGCTCTTAGTATTATGCTACAACTCAGGTCCTCAGACAGTATAAACGGGTAAGCACTCCACTAAGATACAAAAGGCTGGCAGTTAGAATTTACCCAGGGGCACCGTGGAAGAAAGGCCTGGCCATCTGCTGCTATGAGGTCATGGCCTTGAAAATCTCAGATAGCACCAGTTCTACTTTACACAGGCGGGGTGAAGTCAGTGGCAAATAACCATCACCAAGTACCACTTGCTGTAGCACCATGGACATACCACTAGTGCAGCTGACAAAACTAATGCAGCTACGTGCACAGATTTTAGCTTGACTCAGTGTCTTGACCTCCTCCACCCACCCAAATACCATTCCTCTAACATCCAATGTGGCTGGGACAGAGCACCAGGGGTCTAGCCACAGTGTGTAGACTCAAGGGCTTCTTGCCTACAAGACTTCTCTTTAGGGCACTGAGAAACACCATGAGCTGGTAGAGACCTTGAGAAAATGGGCGGTTCCTCAGACCGGCTTGACCTCTGGACACGTTTCTGGGTGGCTGCGCTTGGCAAGAAGTTACTGAGAAAATGTGATGGGGGCTGGGGACACCTGGGTGCTGCTCTGTGGCCCTCATCTGCAACAGTGAATAGGGATACAGTCTCTCATGGGGGATTTTGGGGAGATGATTAAGTGGGTTGTAAATGCCATGGCTGTGACCTCTTTTCACAGTACTAGTAGGGAAATGAGACAGCAGCCCTAGGTCAAGGTCACTTCTAAAGCTGAGCGGTTAGGGCGATCTGCTCCTTACCCAGGATGTCCAGCCACTCGTCGGGGGCTGGAGCTGGTGTGGGTTCAGGCTCCATGGTGGCCAGGAATTCGCGGGCCAGGGCCCCAGGCTGCTCTGGCTCCTCTGGTCGGGACTGCCCCATGTCTTCCAGTGGCGGCAGCTCACTCAGGTCATCCTCCTCCTCCTCTTCTTCATCCTCTTCTGCGTCCTCCACTCCATCCAGCACTTCAAAGTCCTCCAGTGGCAGGACTCTGGCAGGCAGTGAGGCGGTGGGATCCGGGCCTGCGGCAGAGGGCTCGGCACAGGATGCCATGCTGTCAGGGGGAAGAAATGGGGAGTAAGAACCCCACTAACCCTCTCCAGTATTCTGACCCACAAAGTGTCTCAGATCCTCAGTTTACTTATCTGTACAATGAACTTAACAAAGAACCTGGCTGTTGCAAGAATCTATCAATCATGTGTTTAGCTCTGGGCATGTGGCTCACTATTAGAGCTAATTTGGTCCCCTTAAGCACCCCAGCAGATGCATCACACCCCCCACAAATATACACATTTCCAGAAAAGGAAACTCAAGCCTAGAGAGGGGAAAAGTCATTTGCCCAAGGTCACAGAGTAAGTTAGCAAGGGTGAGGTTTGAACCTACAGCTCCTGAACCCTAGGATTTTGTGTGATGAAATCCCGAAAGTGGTAGTGGGATTTTTCTTGGGTGAAACGAAAGCCTTCAGAAGGCTATTTTCAAAGCCCAAAGAATTTCTCTCCTAGGCCTTCCCACCTCTTGCTATACACCCTGCCCCCAAAATTCCATGCCCTCTCATCCTGAACCCTGAAGTCTATATGGCCCCCTCCCACACCAGAAACCCTGTCTAGCCCCAGCTTGGATGTCCCTTCTCTCTCCAGGCCTCCTGACCCCCAACACAGCAGGTCCCCTGATAGAGGAGTTCTGATGCCACATTTCATGATCCTTTCTTGCCCCAGGCCTGTAAGGATCCTACAGCTTTGGCTGTGCCAAGAGGAACCACCTCCTCAGGCCTCCAGGCCCCAAAAGTCCCAGGAGGTGGGGAGTCAAGATCCTACCTCACAGTATTTACCTCCAACCCTTCACCTGTTCTGTGTGGATAAGGCTCAGGTCCCCTTTCCCTGATTCTGTCCCCACCAAGTCCCTGTGGTCTACACAAATCGGCCTCCCTCGCCCCAACTGCCGCCCCCGGCCCAGGCCAGGCAGCCCTCCAGCCACTCCCTGGTCCTATAAACACCTTGGTGTCCCCAAACGCCCCCCTCCCCATTTCACAGCGCTCTGTACTCCCCAAACACTCTCTACTTGGGCCTAGCCTCGCGTCAACTTCCCCACGGGACCCCCAATGCCCCTCCACCCATCTGACGCCACTAGTAGGGGCCCGACCCCCGCACCCCAGGAGCGCCCCGGCTTTGCGCGATTCTTGTTGGTAGCCCCCACCGGCTCTCGTAACCCCCGGTCCTCCCAACTCTGCCCGGCCGCGCCCCCTCGCCACCCAGACCCCCACGCGCCCCCAGCCCGCGTCCTCCGCCCCGCCCATCGCCCACGGCCCCTGCCACGCCGGCCTGGTCCAGCCCAGGCAGCACCCTTGGCCAGCGCGACCCTGCTGGCGCCTCAGGACACGTGCCTCTGGCTCCGGGACCCCCACCTGGGGTCCAGCGCCCCCCCTCCCCGCCCCCAGCCGCGGCCGCCTCGCCTCGGGAACCAGGTTCGGGCCCCGGCCCCGCCCCCACCATGGCCATTGGTCGCTGCTGCCAAAATAGCCTCTCCCATTGAGTCGTATGTACATCCATCTCTGGCCCAGGCACCGCCCCCTTCCTGCTTTGCTTGGCAGGACTCTCTTAAAGGAGCCACGGCCGGCGAGTGCGGAGGGGGCTGGGGGTGTCGAGGGGTAGCGGTTCAAGGTCGGGATAGGGATTCAAGGCGCAAGTGGGGCGTGGGTGGGGACCCTAAACCCTGAATGGCGCTACATGGGCCACCTCCCAGTTTCTAGCTGAGCATCATCCTGCCCATCTGCAAAATGGGGATAATATCCCTATTCAGGTAGATCACCTGAGGGGCTGTTGGACAGATTGTACTCCTTGATGTTTCCTACAAGAGCTGGACTAGATAGAGAGTCAGAGCAGTTGTGGACCTGTTGGATAACTTACCCAGACACTTTTGCCATTGCAATGTCGAAGGGTAAGCGTCGTAACCCCCAGTTAGTCCTAACTCCTAGGTTGCCTGAAGCATACAGTAAGCGCTCAGTAACTACCCGGTTGCCACTACTGACCTTACTGGGCTGCTGGAAGGAGTCCTACGTGTACACTTGCTGAACTTCTGTGAAAGAGTGATAAGGCGCTTGCCGCCCTGGAGAAGGGTGGCAGCCTCGATTACATGTGTTTATGGATTTTGTTTTGAAAAGGTGCAGATTCGGGGATACTTACTCCATCTTAACTCTGTTTATTTCCTTAGCGATATTTACCCCATTTTGGAATGACCTTGTTCATTATTTTGTACCCTATTCAAGTGGGAGGAATTGGTTGGTTTCCAGAACTCTCTAGAAGGGTGACTGGCACATATGGGCACTCAGTAAATGAATCAGACACTAACACCTCAGATCTAAGCTCCAGTGACACTTCTTCCAGGAAGTCCTCTTTGACTTCTCCAAGGCAAGGCTACATGCCCTAATTCTCTTCTGGCATAAGGAGCCTCCACTTCATAATTTATTTATTTTTATATATATGTATATATAAGCTCTGGTGGCCTAGTGGCAAATGCTGCACTGCAATCCCGAAAGCATGGGTTTGAGGCCACCAGCTGCTCCTTGGGAGAAGGATGGACAATTTCATCCCATAGGATTAAGTGCCTCTGAAAACCAGCCTGAGGGTCAGCTATGGGTCGGTTCCAACTCAACAACAACATATTTATGTTAAGATTTGATTACTCTTTGCTTCAACCACTAACCCAGGATAGCTCAAAATCCAGGAAAGGTCTGTTGGTTTTCATTTTTGTAACTCTGAGCTCTGCCCAGAACCTGTCAGCAAGCAGGCATTTATGGGAAAGACTCAGCAAAATTGTTGTGGAAAAGAAGTATGCAAACTAGCAGCTAGGAGGACTTCTGCGACATCAGAAAATGTGAGAAAGCCAGAGAAGGGACATCATATAAACTGAGGGTCAGTCCCAATCTTAAGAGACTTAAATAATTTCCTATCTATTCCTGTATGTCAAAGTTCTGACAATGGGTGAATTGTGGTAAGCAGGACCAATGACAATAATACAAAAATAAATCACATAAGATAGAGAAATAATACTAACATCAATTCTACTACTACTACTACTAGCTCCCATCAGGCAGGTGTTATACATGCCAATGGTTATGAAGCACAGACTCGCCATGTTGACCTTATAAAGCAAATCCTCTGGTATTTGTAGACCGTATCACCTTCCTGGTGAGCTGAAGCTTTTACTGTGATGATGATAATAACAGGAATCTCTTTATCTCAGTGCATTCTGAGTGGACTTTGCCTGATGTGAACATTGCACACTCATTCATGGTGGTTTATGTTTCAAATATTAAAATTCCCTCTTTGGTCACCCTTCTACCTTCTATTTTCCATATCCTCAAATTGTACATTTGTGTTTTGTACACTTGTGTTTTGTAAACAGCATAAAATTGGGTTTTGCTTTTGGATCATTCTGTGTTTCTTTGTCTTTTAACTGAAGTACTGATCTGTTTAATGCAATCATGGACATCTTTGAGTTTGCATCCACCTTCTTGTTATATATTTTTCCTCCACGTTCCTTCCCCCCCTTTCTCCCTGCCTACTTTTGGATTGGTTTAGTCAAAGCTCTGAGGGTTTTTGTGTTGGTTTTGTTTTATTTTTCTTTTTAATTGTAATGTCTTTAGAGATATTAGGAGTTCTGGTCACCTAGTCCATAGGAAGTTGTGCTGCTAGCCCAAAGATTCTCTAGCTAATCAAATCTATCTGCAGGTCCTCTCAAGAGAATGGTGGGAAATCTCTTCTAATGTGATTTACTGCCTCAGAAACATACTGACGGTTAGCTATCAGTCAGTTTTGATTCCACAGCAGTGAGTGATAAAGGTAGCAAAACATTTACCGTTTCTATAATCACAGTACTACGAAGCACTGAGGAGCAATGATTTTGAAAAATACTATATAACATGTGAGAGACTGGAGAGCATTAGGCTGAGTGAACTAACTCAGTCCCATAAGGACAAACACTGCATAAGATCATTATTATAAAAATAGAAGGATAAGTAGTAAAACATGTATGGGGACCCAAAGGGGGGGCAGTTATTAGGGTTTTTTTTACTCTGTTGGATTTAATCTTTAGAAGGTCCCATTCATCAATTTTGTGCATTTCTAGCTGTATCTGGCAGTTTTTTAATACCATAGACTGGGGTGATGGGAATAGGTGTGTCAGAGACAATAAATTGGCACGGGATGGAGCAGGGTTTAGGGCTGTTGTATATAGCGTTGGTATGAATCACAGGTCACTTGACAGCACATAACAAAAAGAAATAATATCTTCCTATGGGCATTAATTACATTCCTTACTTTTAACCTCACTTATCTTTGGCAAGACTCTTGTTACCCTTCTTTTACAGGTAGAGAAACTGAGGCCCGGCACGGGAAGTTTCACTACTTTGTTAAAGGTCACATTCAGGAAGGGCACTGTGGGCCAGGTCCCCTTCTCCACTGAGCAGACAGGAAACTAGATTACATAAATGATGCTGCTGATGAGAATAGAATGGCAGGTGTGATAAATTCAGTGGGAGAAATAAACTCAGAAAAGGATCCTACCAGTGTGGGATTAAGTAAATTCAGATTTCCTCATACATGCCTACTAATCTGTAGTGAACAATTTCACATTTTTTTTCACCAGATGAAAAGATTCTCCCTTCTAGTTGCAGCTGACTTGCTGTCTCTCTCCTCACCCCATAGCACCTTCCTACAGAATCAAAACCATTCTCAAATTTATAGTGTCTAGTAGGGTATTCACTGTTGTTGTGGTTATGTGCTATCGAGTAGTTTGTGACTCATAGCGACCCTGTGTACAACAGCCCTAAACTCTGCTCTGTCCTGTGCCAATATCACTGTCTCTGACACTCCCATCCCGATTATCCCAGTCACTGAATCAATCCACTTCATAGAGGGCCTTCCTCTCCTGCGCTGTCCCTCCACCCTCCCAAGCATGATGTCCTTCTCTAAGGACTGGTCTCTCCTTACAACATGTCCAAAGTATGTTAGATGGAGCTTCAGAATCCTTGCCTCCAAGGAGCCACCCGGTTTAACCCTTTCCAGGATGAAT